GATATAAGAGCGACGGGATGCCGGGTATACACGCATCGGGCCGCTTTGTCGTGCGTAGAGATATAACTGATGTCGCAACAGTTTGATGGACGAGATCGCGTAAAGTTGGAAATACAAAAAAACTCGGGACGAAGCACCCGTCAAATCGCATTATCGGACACTGTCGACACGTGCGTCGGCGTCATATGCCTCGCATGATCACGCGGTTACGCGAAATATCGATGCACGACGTCGTGTATTGTTTATCCACTCTTTTCCCTCGTTTTTACGTGTTTTACGGTGCGACCGGCGATGATAAGCGGCACTCGGTCAAACGATCGCATGAGTAATTAATGACAAACGCCTCGCGCGCCAGCGGTTTTCGTTGGAAAAGCTTCGAGGCATTCAATTAGGCAACTCGCCAATCGCAAACCGAGCGGGAGCGAGTCAAACGTACGAGTGCCAAGCGATCGATCAAAATTTTCTTGCGATAAACGTCCCCTTGTTCGTTCGTAATCGGGAGAGCTACGACTCACTGCAATATGCAAATTATACGAAGGCCACACGCAAGAAAGATATTTATCAATATTTTACTTTTTCTCGTGCTCTTTCACACACACACATGCATATACATACGCATACCACGGTATAAACCAATCAATCAAGTTTGTGCGCGTTGCGTTTGTTATTTTATCAATATTTAAAAACTATCTATTGAATATTCCAGTCCTTTATAGCATTGGATTTATGTAATTGGATTATGTGTAATTATAAGTTTCTAAAAATAGGTGATATAAAAAAAACGAATATTTACGTATACTGTCTGAAAATCATTAAAGTATTTCTCATATTTTTGTTAATCGATTACGTTTCTTCTCGATTATTCTTTTAAACAACTATTTTAGAAATAATAATTTGAAAAATACTTATAACATTATTATTATAGTTGCGATAAATTACGTGCCTTAAAAGTAAATAAGAATTAGAATATATATATATATATACGAATAAACGAATTCTGCAATTTCAATCTTACAATTGATAACTTTCGATAAATATCGGGAATCAAAAAGTTAGTATTTAATCTAATTGGCCAAAGAATTGACAGATGAAAGAAATTCGATGCTAGCAAGTCGCCTCGGTAAACGGTTCAAATCGATGCCACTCGAGGGCAACGTTACCAAATAAAGGGTTAAATGGATCACGACGTTGGTCGTATTTTCTCGTGGCGGCGGAACCTGAAAAAGTGCTCGCGATATACTGTTACCACACCGGCGCGGCGCGGCGCGGTAGAAAGGGAAAAAAAAACGTACTCTACTACCTCAGATATTGAATGGGGAACGAGTGCCGTCCCTCTTACGCTGGCCAGTCGCTCCGCAGTAAGGTCATTGCACACTCGTAAACAAACAGGACACGGAGCGGCGGCGGCGTCTACGACGAATACTCGTGTGCGTCACTGAACGTATACAATGTATATACACACCGATCTAATACGGCCTTGGGCTTTCCGAACGGAGGAGTGATTTTAATGTCTGCCTTTTAAATTCCGGGAATACATCGTGCGCGCGCTTCGCGATCGATCATCCAACGAACTCTGCGAATTCCCGGCGAGATGTTACGTGTACGACCACGTGAACTTTACGGCAAATTCCTCGGTCCTAATTTAAGTACTCTTGCCTCAACGAGAATATCAGAGACATCGGCGCTATCGATGTTAAAAGCGAGCATGAAGAATTCTTAGCTTCAAAAATAGAAAGGGATGACAAAACTTTGTTCCTCACATAATTTAGAGCTTGCTTTATCACCATTAAATTTCAATTTGAAATTTAATTATAAAGGTATTATATTAAGAAAAGAGACAATAAGTCATGATTTGACATATTCAATTTGACGTATTCAATTAAATCAATTTTTAAAAAATCCATTGTTTGATGCGATCGATATATGTACGATAATTTTTTATGCATGCATCCCAAATGTTAAATTTGTCAAATATATCTAAATAAATGAATAGTAAACTAAAAGAACTTAAAAGAATAATCAAATATATATATGTGTGTGTGTGTGTGTGTGTGTGTGTGTGTGTGTGTGTGTGTGTGTGTGTGTGTGTGTGTGTGTGTGTGTGTGTCAAAAAAATCTTCCTTCTCGGTAACAGATTTAAAAAAATTAAAGACATTGTAACGGTGAATCGTGAAATGATAAGATAGTTGTAAATTATTAATATTTAATTACACAGATAGAATTATTAACTGTTCAGTATCCAATTTCGAACAGGATATACTAATAAATCCATATAGTATAAACTAGCCGCTGATTCCCTGAGCGTATCATAAGTCCGTAACATATACACACATCCGGATCTTTAAATCCAATTGACATACATTTAAAGAGCTCAGACCACAAATACATTCCCTTTAACGTTTTACATTGGACTGAAAGATTAAATGGCACGACTTCAAAATCCGACATACTTTGAGTATTTATGAAAATTAATATTTAAAGAAATTTCACAATCTCAAAGTCAAGAGTTGCAAGTCACTTAATTTCTTATGCAAATGAGAGATAATTACATCCATTATGTTTTCATTGGTTTCCCTACAAATGCTAGAATGTTATGTTAGGAATAATAATAGCGACGTACGTCGACCGATACGTTACATTTACAACGGAAAAAAAAATGATTTCACTGAAATATCTAAAAATTTAGCTAGATATAAAATTAATTTGATTAGATTACCAAAATATGTAATTATATAGTACATACCTAAGATTTGCTAAAATGTCGAAGTTTCTTGTAGCTTTATCGTTATTATGCTTATTCGTTCCATACATTTTACAATTATTTCGACGGCAACAAATTTATTTGCAGATCTGTATCTAGACAATTTTTTAGATACTTTAACAAAACCATATTTTCTTTATACATATCATATAACACGACCGACCTATTTTATTATAACAAAGATCCCAATAGACACGATGTAACACGAGATTTATCGCGTCGTTAAAGTCTTTGCAGCGGAAGAACCCGGCGATCATTCTTGCGCGTTATCGCAATTTCTCGTTCGCAAGTTTTCGCATCCTGACAAATGTCACGTTCCGTGAAGGAAGGCAAAGGATCCGCGGCGGGTCCAGCGTGCATACTCCTCCCGGTCCCCTTCGTTTCCATCGCGTTGCGCAAATTTTACGGGCCGGCGCATTCGTGGTGCGACAATTTCCGTTTTTCGCGTACGCGTAAACGTTCCCCGAAACGTGCGACAACAATCGCGGCATTCGACACCGGCAGCGACGAGAAGGTCAAAGGTCGCTAACCACGATCGTGCTTCGTAAACGAAGCTAAACGACGCCGCGGCTAAACGACGCCGGTCGACTTGTTCCAAACACGGGTCGGTAGGGTATGAATGAATGAAAGAACGTAAGGCAACAAAGAATGTGTATACCTGCGAACCCTAACTACTTGTGCCCCTTAAAGAGATAACAAATAGAAACATTCGACAAAGTGTCAAACAGCGAAAGCCGATTAGGGATGCCGGTATTCTATGGGACATTAGTGACTTTTGTCGACACGTGGCACCTTATTGTTATGCAACACCCTAATTCGACGCTCATCTAAATTATCTTGATGTATTCTTACACTGTTGAAAACGTGAGAAAAGTCAACTACAAATTATCCGGCAAATTATGTACTTCATATTTCTACGAGAAAAATTGGAAGGCTCAAATTTTTGAAGGTTAATTTAGAAACGTCGTCGGCGATAACGAGGAGAAACATGAAACGCTACTCTACTTGACACGTACAAAATTACATGTTTATATGAACTTACGTTCTCATGATATTATTTATAACTACACGGAAAGAACAATTTTACTCAAGTATCTAAAAATTTATATACGGAGCAGAAAATAATGTAGTCGGTCAAAATAACTGTTAATTGTAAATCTCAAGCATGATGAGTAATGTTGTAAAAAAAAATTTAACTAGAGCCACCAGTTTAAGCGTTCTACGTAATTATTTTGACAGCCCAACAAAATTATTTTCAGCCCTGTATCTAAATTTTTACTAAACTACAGTAAAATTATTTTCACAGCTGTATTTAGCAAAATTTTTAGATATATTTGCAGCGAGAAAAAGAAATTGACTAAATTGGCTTAATTGATCTTTATTTCTTAACGTAAAGAATATAAGTGTTTAAGTAAAATATATTATATTTTACTTAAATACATACATTTTCCAACAAAAGAAATAAAAATAAAAATAGATTTAGTTAATAAATTAGTCAAATGAATAATTTTTTTCTCAGTATGAATAAAATCATTCTTTTCGTATAAAAATTTCAATAAGAGCTGTTATAAAAGTTGAGATAAATTAGTCAAATAAAGGCTATGGCACACAAAAAAATTGCAAGGCCATTAATTTCTAAAGGCCAAAACACAAAGCTTTACATAATACATAAAATGGTGTCTACAATGAGATTTTAGGGTGTAAAATTTAAGTCTTAAACCGTGAGAAAAAAAAATTAACTAATCATAGTCGATTATCTCATCACGTTCGACTGTGATTGATTAATGTCTTACGGTTGAAGGCTTAAAGCTTAAATTTTACACCTTAAAATCTCATTGTAGACTCCGCTTTATGTATTATGTAAAGCTCTTTTATGCATAAAGCATAAGAAAATTAACAAATCATTCCTTCATTTCACGAAGGAAAGACTTTGATTGATTGATTCTCTTATTGCTTTATGTATTGTGCATAAAGCGGCGTCTACAATAAGATTTTAAGGCGTGAAACTTAAGCTTTAAGCCATAAGCCGTAAGAAATTGACCGACCGTAGTCGATTATTCTTCTCACATCAATTTCTTACGACCTGAGGCTTAAGGCTTAAGTTTCACGCCTTAAAATCTCATTGTAGACGTCGTGTTATACAAGGCTCGGCGCTACGTTTTTTCCGTCGAGCTATGGGCTCTTAAGAATCGATCGCGACTCGCGATCGATTAACGAACGAGCGCGGTGTTGATTATACCTGTTGCCAGTGATCCTCGAGCGACGGCTGGGCCGAGAAGTATCCGGTGTCGTGTATGTCCTGCAGCTCTCGAAATATATTGCCGCTCGGTAGGAGCGTATCCATGGCTACGCGCGGCTACGAAGTCCTTCTCCGCACCGGAGCCTCCTTCTCCAGCAGGTGAACCGCCACACGCGGGGAGACGCGACGACGAGATCGCGTAAACTCAAACGTAATCTCAAACTGACCGCAACTGAACAACGGACGACAACACCGCGCGTCACTCGCCCGTCAGCACTCCAACTCTCCCGCTCGGCACGGCACGACAAGACGAATACGAATACCAACTCGATTCACTGAACGCGCTCCGGACGCACGCACGCACGTAAACGTAGTAGCGAGTAGAGGCGAGCGCACGTGCGTATCATCGGGAGAAGAGGCAGACCTCCCCCTCCACCGTAGACGCGAGAGCGAGAGAATGCCGGCGGCGAAACGAGCAACCGAGAGACTCCGGACTCGACGGAACACGTCGACCTACGTCGCCCGAGCAACGCGAGGATGGTTATGGATTCGCGTGATTCTCCGTCGCGCACTTCCCGTTCCCGTTAACAGCCCGATCCGCCCGATACCTGCCTGGGCATTCACGAATGCGCTCTTATCTCCCCTCTCTCTCTCTCTCTCTCTCTCTCTCTCTCTTTCTCTCTCCTTGTACCTCCCGTGTATATCACGACCAAAGAACTTGTGCCGCCGCGTCGCTGCCTGTTATTGTTGTTATTGCTGTTGCACGCCGTTGACTGTCGCGACGAGAAGAACGGCGTGTATTATACAACCGGCGAAAAAAAAAACTCACTGCGAACACGGCATCACTCGTGTTGCTCGACGCTCTGTCTGTTGGCGTCGCGTGCACGGCTCACTTGCGACAGTATTCATCACATGCGGGGAGGGAACGCGGAGGGGGGAAGACACACGCGGAGCAAACGTCAAAATGCCGGCTGTAGTCGTTCGTGCTTGGGCTGCGGTTCCCCGGCCTCCCTCTTTCGCAGCTCCGCGTTACTCCACATCCACTTTAGACATTCGCGCGATTCCGGTAATTCCTGACGGAAAAAAAACTCGCGTATTCACTGTTAACGGCAACACACACGCGGGCCGTCTCTCTCTCTCTCTCCTTCTCTCGCTTTCTCTCTCTCTCTTTCTCTCTCTAGCTCCCCGTCTGCCGTTCCGCGTATCGTACTCGTCGCGTACCGGCTTTTATCCCTTCGCGCGCGCGCCGAGATCGACGCCGGTTCTGCCTCAATTCTGCGGCAACTTCACGCCGTACGACGAGATCGCGATACCGCACGTACGGATTTCTTATCCGCGCGCTCGCGGGGGTTGAAGGAAACGCAGGGGAGGGTTAACACCTTTGAACGAAGATACTCGGCACTCCGTGGATAGGGACCCGGCGAATATCCCCGACCGCTGAATACGCACAGACTCTTCCACGCGAGTGTCGAAGAGTAACTGACGTTCCTCACCGTAACTGTGAGCGACGAGGCCCGAGCGCGGCCGAACGTAACCGAGCGCGCGCGAGCCACCGGCGACTCGTAACCGCTCTAAACGGCCGCGCGACGCCGCGGCAGCACTGATCGGTGACGTCGCGACGCCACGGCTGCGTGTTGCGTGTTGCGTATCACGCAGATAAGGTACCACCGGCATCAACGGAGAAAAAAACGGAGATTTATTTGTAGAAAGAAATTCGCGCCGGCGATTTCGTTGCGTAGACTACGTCGTGTTACGTTTACTTTACGAACTGTCGGCGAGGGAAGAAGGGAGCTGAAGTGAGATGCGTATGCGAGGGTGATTTATTTCAAACTGTCATGCCATCTTATTAGTTCGATGCATTAGATATGCATATACGAATGCGATTTGTAAACTTTTATTTCAAACTGTGTCGAGTAGATATCGAAATACGCATTTCTGAAATTGCAGCGACTGTAAAATATGAAAAAGAAAGTGAGACGCAAAATAAAAATACTTTGAAAATTATGTAAATTAAAATATTGTTATGTTTACTCTTATTTTAATCAACGCGATTTCATTATTGCATTTTCGAAAATAAACGGGCACTTGCGAACAATTCATTTTCGTTATTATATAAACGAAATAATCAATGTCACGTAAATTTCCAAAGGCACTTCTTTCACATATATCGACATTGTCACATACGCGAAAATGTATATTAATTCCCCC